GCGACCATAACTCTAGCAACATAGGTCTCTGGGACAGGCCAAGAGCTGCTTTGATCAGAGACAATGTGTATCTTGAAGGTGGTTATCTGCAAACTGGAGTTTTTGAGAATGGGACGTGGGATTCATTGGAGTCTTCAACTTCGTCTCAAGGCTTTTTATACAAACTCAGCATGCATGAGCCATTCGATACCACCGAGGCCAACCCTGCGATATTCCAGTCCATCAATGAGGGACCCATCAGCAATTACTACCTCGACGGATATATGTTCGCCGACTATGATGAGTTCTATGCTTACGGGTACCTCTCCCGCATCTTATCTATTGCGCTGTGAATCTAACAATTTCTCAAGTGGCATGTACTACATTTCCGGAGACACCATTACTGACCGCACAGTGAGCGACCCTCTGTACGATATTCCGCAAGATTCGAATGTTCAGGCAGGCGTACCAAACGTTGCGTACGCTCCTCAGAGTGGGAGCTTCATCAAAGATATCACAAACGGTGCCGGAGCCAATGCTCCAAGTGAGAATCTCAGTTTCTACTTCAGCGGTAAATACAATGCAGATGGCACCGCCTTCTCCTATTTCGACCCGCCGATGGACTACTCTCCGTGGCTCATCAAGGTCGACACCAGCATTCAAGGCCATGCAGACTGGTCACGAGAAGATCTGACAGTTAGCAACATCACCCTGCGATCCGAGGGTGCTCTTGTCTGGATTCCCGCCTCAACACGAGGACTTCTGATTGCGATTGGAGGTGTCGTATATCCTGCGGACCTGAACGGTTACCTTAAGACAGACAACACGACCGACATCACGGTGGCGAAAAGCTTTTTGACCGAATTTCCTGTATACGATATCGGTTCTAGTACATGGAGCATGCAATCACTCAACCCGGGATCTGCAATTCCCGATGGCCCACTTGCACAATTCTGCACCGTTGTTGCCTCCAGTCCGGATGGTTCACATCATGAAATCTTTGTCTATGGCGGTTGGGACAGCAATGGAGGTTTGGCTTACGGCGATGTGTGGATTTTGAGCGTGCCTTCCTTCACTTGGATCAGAGGAAACGTTGAAGGGACCAGAAGACAAGGCCATGTCTGCGTGTCTCCGTATCCTGACCAAATGATTGTTCTCGGTGGGACGGGAGACTATGGAGCAGGGCTTTCCAGCAACAACAGTGTCGACGTCTTCAATTTGAACGAGCTGAGCTGGACAGGCACGTACGATCCTAGTGTCCACAACGATTACAAGCCCGCTCCGACCGTAGCCAGTGTCATCTCCGCAACCCCCACCGCCAGTGGCATGTCTTCTCAGGTCTCCAATTGGTTCAATACACCATATAATATGGATCTGATCAGAACCTTCGCCCCGTATAACGAAACCACCTCTGGTCCACAAACGAATACGACCACGAACACTCCCCCTCCGACACCACACCATGACAGAGGCTGGGTCATCCCGGTTGCGGTTACCGTTCCCGTCGTGGTTGGTGTCGCGTTCTTTGCTGGCCTCATCTTCTGGTGCTGCCGTAAGGCAAGGAAAGGCCGTCAGCAAGAACAAGAGACATCCGAATCAAATAACGGGAGGGGTGGGATCTTGTCTTGGCTCCGGTCGACCCCTTCAGGTATGCCTGGCAAAGAAATAGGAACCGAGTCGTCTGTCACTGAGGTCGAGCAGCCCCAGTCGCCATACCCTATGAGACAAACGGTTCCTCAAGAACTCGAAGGTGGATACTTTTTCAGAAGTGAGCAAGGGACTAACCAGGATCGCTGGTCGTCATCTACTCCCGTGCGGTCACCAAGAGCTGAATACGATGGTCCGGTCGAGGGTCCAGACACCGGGGTTCACGAGGTCCATGGTGCTTCTCGAACCACCCGTCCTGACGACGAGTATGATATCCGCAAAATGACCATGTACCCACCAAGTTTCGTGAGTGGTGGTGGTCAACCTAGGGCAATGGCCGGCTCTTCAGTCTCGCAATCAGGCGAGTCTAACTCTCCCGCCTCGCCCCACACCACGTCGGTGGGCATGGCAAGCTCGGGTTTTGCACCCATTCCCGAGGGTGAGATGGCGCTCGGGGATGACCACACCACAGGTTTCGACAGAGCAATTTCACCAATTGATCTCCGGAGGGACTCGAGGCCTGGGCACGATCGCAAGGCATCGGACGTGAGCAGCGCTTCATCACTGCCGTCCCCGGGCGGCGAGGATCAACCGGCTGCCCCATCCAGGCCGAGAGCTTCGCGAAGCGTTTCCGGGAGTGACGTCGAAATCGGAGAGCAAGGGAATCGTACCATATAATGTGGCATCTGTATCGTCGCAGAAGCTGCAACGCATTCCCTTTCCCCGCAATGGTTTACTTCTTAATTTACCAGGACTTTTGGGGACACTTTCTCTCATATGTTTGACGACTGGACGGCATAGGTATAACCGCGAGTGAGGCAACGATTTTATGGCAAATAATTGGGATGTTTTCATATGTTTGTGGGCCTAACAGACAAGCCCATGCTCAAACTCGGGAGGGTCGTTAAAAAGATACGTTTCTTGATGATAGTTACAGAAATAACTTCCATCGAAAAATCGCGAAAAGTCCCATTGGCTGCAAGTCTATGAAAGCGGTGTTCGCAGACTAAGAACACGTACGACTCGAACTTACTGCTACCTAGCGGCCTCGGATGGCTGGGGAAGGCTTCTGATCTCTCTCTTGCAACCGCAGCCACGATGTTCGCAGCGGGCCAGGAAGCTGAACTATGCGTGGGTGACCTTTCGAAGTGTAATCCATAGCAGTGGAGGATCTCAAAAGACGCGGAATCGTGGAATAATGGAGATGTGCTGGTGTCTAGAGATCAGGGCTGTGGAGTTAGTGAAGAGGACTCTCGGTATACAACAAAGGCGTTCGAGTACAGTTCAGCTGGAAATGAAAAATTTTCACTTGACGGTGATGCCTTCTCAATGAAAAAATCGATATGTTGATGCAAAGCGCTTCTGTGTATATATCCCTAGGTACGGAGTACAGAGATGTACAGAGTGTACCGAGTACATACTAGGTAGTTGGCGACATTGACTTTCCGTCTGACAAGGCTGTAAACCCTCTTAGTACGTAAGGCTGAAGATGAGACTTGGCTTGTTTGCTGCTTTTGCCACAACTGTACTGCACCATTGTCAACTTGCTGCATGTGATGCTCAAAACCAAAATATTCTTCTCACAAATGCCGCCAACATGGCCGACGATGATCGTCCCTCCGAGGAGGGCATGCAGACCGGTTTCCCTCTAGATCCGTCCTCATTCGATGCCGATCCCCGAGTTTCTTGGTCGAAACTCGACAATAAGTTCATCCTCGAAACCGAAGAAGGCAATGAGTTCGAATGGGACACGGCCCTGAAAAGATGGATTCCAGTGGTAGGCAAAATCGCAATATGAGACCTCCGAGAAATATCACGCCCTCTACAATTTCTACAACACTCTTGCACCACGGTGTAAGGAACAGATTCTAACCTGCTCCATGTTGTGTTTTTGTTGTAGCTGGACCAGTCAATGTTGGACCAACAAGGCGAAATCTACAAGGTTGCAGGTGTCGACGAGAATGCGACGACTACTTCACAGAAGAAGAAACGGAAGCAACCGAATGGCGACGAGGTACGTGATGGCCAAGGTCTGATGGACTATGCTAATCATGTCTTATTAGGCCGGTAACAAATCCAAGAAACCTCGAGTTAACACCGCAGTTTATGTGACCTCAATACCTCTCGATGCCGACCAAGAAGAAATTCAGCACGTCTTTTCCAAATGCGGTGTCATCGCAGAAGAGATCGACTCCGGCAAGCCGCGCATAAAGATGTACGAGGATGACAAGGGTCGGTTCAAGGGCGACGCGCTTGTGGTCTACTTCAGGCCCGAATCGGTCAATCTCGCGGTTCAGATGCTTGACGATACAGATTTCCGGCTGGGAACAGAAGGGCCAATGGGCAGGATGAGAGTCCAAGCCGCGGATTTCTCATACAAGAGTCAACAAGATGTTCCGACGAAGACGAGCAAGAGAGAACAGAAGAAGATCATCCAGAGAACTCAAAAGATGAACGCGTATGCTCTATCAAATGATTTAGGCCCTGAGGCTGACTGACGTGCAGCAAACTCATGGATTGGGACGATGATGACCCACAAGCTCTGCAGGAGACAAGCTCTAGGTGGGACAAGGTTGTCATTCTGAAACATATGTTCTCACTCCAGGAGCTAGAGGCAAGTGTTCTTCACCATCACAAGTGATGCAGGGCTGATTGAAAGCAGGAGGACCCTGCAGCGATGCTCGAAATCAAAGAAGACATCCGCGAAGAATGTGCGAAGCTCGGAAATGTCACAAACGTAGTCCTCTTCGACAAGGAAGCAGAAGGCGTTGCAAGCGTGCGCTTCTCTGACGCAATGGCTGCCGCCGCTTGTGTCAAAGTATGTCATCCTCTCTCCTCAAAGCTCCCTGCTAACACGAGGACAGCTCATGAATGGAAGATGGTTCGACGAAAGACGGCTGGAGGCGTACGTTGCAACAGGTCGCGAAAAGTTCAAGAAATCTAGCGATAAGAAGGTTGGCTTTGAGGACGATGACGAGGAAGAAGATGAAGCGGAGGAAGGCGGCCGATTGGACAAGTTTGGCTCGTGGCTAGAGCAAAAGAAATGAGCGCAGCCACTACAGCGTGGCTTTTCATCTTGCATCAATCTGGTTTTCCATCGGGCAAAAAAGATCATCGCTATGGCATAGTCCCAGCATGAATATCTCCCATTGAAACTAGAGTTTGCTGACGAGATTGTCATGACTGCTGCACTAGTAGATACCTGATGGCTAAGGCAAGCAAGACCGCCCTCTTCACGATCGAGCCACTCCCGGACAGCTCACGCGATGAAGGACCTCTTCCTCATGTTGATCAGCACCGTGCCTATTTCTGCCATGCGCCTTGCCCCCGGGAACGTTATCTTGGGCGGCCTGCATGTCTTCAGAGTCGCTATCCTAGGGGATGGTTTCCAGGTCGCCATGATCATTGACCTTGTCCTGAGCACCCTCTTCATCTCTTACGAAATCGTCCCCATTCCCGCGCTCCATGCCGTCATCCAACTCCGGGACCTCGACAATAGTATCGAGCCTTGTGCTCGAGAAGTCCTTTGCGCGCTTACCTTTGGTTGGTGTGGCGGTCGGGTCGTCGCTTGCAGGGTCTTCACCTCCGTTCGTCAGTTGGTCTTGTGTATGCTGGCTACCTCTGGAAGAAGGGTACTGTAGCTTTGGAAGCGGAACGTCTTCTCCTTTCTCAAGACTTTCGTTGTACTTTTTCCATTTGCGCCGTTCGGACCACCACTCTAAGTAGCTTGAGTAATTCCTTTCGTTGGGTCTGTCGAGCACCACAAGTATTTCGTCCCGACACATGCCTTTCTCAAAAAGCTCAGACGCATATGTATCCATTACTGCCCATTTTGCGTCCTCCTTCGGCACGTTCGCCACGTTCGCCACGTTCTCCACGTTCTTCAGATGCTTTCCGAGTTCTGCAAGCTCCTTCATGCCCCACGTTGGACATCCCGGTTGATCAGGCCTTGGAATCGAGGCACCATATTTCACAGGCGGTTCATTCGTAAAGAGATTGACCCAGTTTTGTTCAGCAGCCATCCGCTTCCGTTCAGTGTTGTATTCGGAGCGTTGCAGTTTTGAGAGCAGGCGGCTTTTCCAAAGTTTCACTGCAAACATTAAGGAGAGTGAAGAAATCATTCCAGACCAGACGAGCCAACTCCAGATCTCTCTTGTCCTATCATACCTCATTCGAAGGCCAAGGAGGCAAATGGTCATCTAAGACGTCAGTGCGCATCCCAAGTTTCTCGATCCTGGAGATTAAGTCGCCTGGAGAGAGACGTTTAGAGTATCCTCCCCCGGTCTTGTCCCTGGTAGGTGCAACCCACTCTTCGCAAGCCTTTCCTTGAACCACTCTCTGCGTTTGTCATAATCGGCAATGGCGTTGCCTTCTTTGCCTAACTTCATCTTTTCTATACCGGGTTTTGTTCTGGCGGTTCCCCATTTGCCCTGCTCTTCGTAACGCGGCAAGCGCCCTTCGGGCTCCCATTCCCAGAATTCTAGGCCAGGTTGAACACCCGGCTTTAGCTACGTCGTAAACGCCAAAGTTCTTGAGGTTCTGCATGTAAAAAGCGAACTGGTCATCTATAGTTTTCCATACGTGACAGGGCCTAGAATCCAGGTTGAACTCGTGTGGCTGTTGCTTGATGACCTTGAACCATCGTCAGTATGTCACAATTAGGATAAGACGGGTTTAGTCAACGACGTACCTCGCGTTGGACGATGTTACCCACATCGTCTGTGAGTTCTTGTAGGCTCCATTCGAAAGACCGTGAAACCAGAGGAGCTTTTGGATCTGGGGACTTAAAGAACCTGCGTCGACGAACAGATTCATAGCTTGCGTAGGCCTCTTCATATGGTTGCGCCCAAGCCCCGCAACACGCCTCGATACTTGGCTCGCCGTTACAGTATCTCCGTTGAGCCGCCCTTTCAGCACCAGCGCTGTTGCAGTAGTCACGATAGTGTGCTAAAGCTACGATGGCCCCTCGCGGACAGCTTTGCGTCGGTAACGGAAGGTCCAGGTCAAATGCACGGGTCATTCTGGGCCAACTACCTGGAGGCCCAACCAACGCGGATCCCTTTAACGTCAGCAGGGGCTGTAACGAGGACCGCGGTGAGAACTGCTAGGATGATGATGGCGTAGCTCGCGACAAGAACGGCCTGCTGGGGAAAACATGCGTCAACTGTGCTATGTACCTCGATATTAAGATTCCCCGGACTCGTGATGGTTTCCGTCAGGTAAGAGACCCCTGCAGATCCCGATGTAGAGGCTGAAGTGGAAGCGGTCGTCGAGGTCAAAGCCGAGCTTGGACTTATAGGCTTTGAAGTCAGAGGTGCCGGCCTTGATCCTGATGATATCGACGGGGCATTCGTGAGAGCCTTGATCAAGCTCATTAAAGGGGTCGCAAGAAGTCCAGCTGTAGAACTAGCTACCGAGTTAGTGGTAGGTATAGCTAACGACTGAGAAGGGGTGGGTACCACAAGACCAGAGTTCTAACCTCCAGGAATAAGAACTGACACTGCTAAAGTCCCTGTTGCAGCTAGTAACAGTAACAGGGTAGGCATAAGTGCAGGTAAAAGTCCGAGTCCAGGCCCCGAAAGTAGCACGCCTCTTACGACTCTTCCGGTCGCTGAAAGGCCAGGCGCATCTCGTGCCCCCGGCATTCCTAGAACTGCTGGAACTCCAGATACGCCTGGTGCGCCCGGTATACCCGGTGCCCCAGGAGCACTGGAAGCCCCTGGAAATGGCACCGGTATTGGAGCTGACAACGGGGCGGCATTACCTCTCCCCCGGCAACGCTCTGAACAAGATCACCAACAGCGCAGCGAGCGAGCCCGACTCCACCACTCACAACATAATCAGCCAAGTTAGCTGCATCGCCGACGATACCTCCAAATTGCATCAAAAGGATTAGGCAGGCCGACACCACGACGAGACACCTGCCCACCAGGCTGAACTGGCTGGGCTTGTTGATACTAGGCAGAGGGACAGCCCCCGGCGGGGAAGCAGGCCATACTGGAGCTGTTATAACACGGATAACTGTATTGGCATGTAGGTGACCGTTCCAGGTAGAAGCGATGTGTACAGGTTGGTGATGATGGTTTCCGTCGTCAGTAACGAGGTGATGACAGTCGTCACTTGTGCAAAGCAGAAGGGATATGTTGTATGGACGGCGACCAGCAGGATCCGCAGAGCATTATTGAAGATCTGAGTAAGCCTCATGGTGGCAATTTCGTGTAACAAACACTTGTTGATTGAGGCTAAGGAGAGTATTCAAGTCGGATTTGAGGTATCGTCTTGAGGACTCGGGAAAATCTGCAGACCACTTCCTTTCGAGAGAGATCTCGGGCATTATATATACCCCTGGTTAGAGCACCCTATCGCTACTTGTTTTTCTTTCTTTTTGGCTTTTTCTTTGCAAATACTTCCAGTCATGAGCTAGCGGGTAAGCAATGTATGAGCTTGGCCTTCTTCCATGAAACCAAGCAATTCTTGCTGTATGCCTCAAGGGAACCAGGCAAAAGGCAAAGGGCAAAAGGCAAAAGAAACTTTGGGGAAGGAGAAGGGCTCGAAATTTCATAGCCGTAAGAGCCACGGTAGGCTCTGAATAACTTGGATATCATAACATTGAAAAGTGAAAATCTGCGAGCCCCAGGCTGCTGGGAAGAGTTTAGGTTTCGCATTCTGTGGGTTGACAGCTTAACCTTCAAAAAATGAAAGTCGAACTTCTGCACTGCTTTGTCCCACAGGGGGTTATGCCGTTGCGTCTGTCGCTCCGCCAGTTTGCCCAACAACAAGGTCAAAACAGGCAAAAAGGAAGTTGAAATTGTTGAAGGTGAGGCGCGATGAGGGTTGGGTTCCACATGACGGCCAAGAACCCAAGTTCACGTCAACCCCAAACAAGATAATAGCCTGACATGCTTGAGCCTTAGCCTGGTGGCTTTGCCGGCTCATTTTCCTGAACTATTAACCAGCCCGCATTTTACCTCGTACATGCAAACTTTTTTTTCTCTCCTTTTCCATCCGTGTTAATGTTAAATCGTAGATCATGGCCAAAAGCGCCGTCTCCAAAGTCTATTTTGTTTTTCAAATCTTCAAATCTTCCATCTCGCACACCTCTTTTTAGAAACTTGCCGCCATACAAGGTGATACTTATTCGAGATTGGCGGGACGGAAAAACAGCGAAAGTGGGGATTATACGTAGGGAGAAATGGTGAGTGTCAAAGACTGTACAGGGTAGACGCCCATGAAAGACCCATGCAAAACAAGCCGACATAGTCGCACGAGGTGGAAATACAGTGAACCTTTTTTGGAATTCATTGGGCATGTAGTCTAAAGTTCATGAGTTAGAGACAGGCAGGACGTCTCGATGACGCCCTCTAAGAAGATACCACGACGTCTTCACACCAACAATGATGCCTATGACGAGAGATATTGATGCTCCGTAAGCTTGCGCTCTGGCCATGTACAGTTTACAAACAATCGCCCTGCTCCAAACGCCCCCGATGCTGACCATTGGGTATCTAGTCGCTGATGGAAGTCCTAATGCTTGACCGTTTTCACCGAAGACCTTGTGCTTCATCCTCGCCCGAATTAGTCAAGCTGAGGTAGGCTGTCCAGGCAATTCCCACAGTGCTCACGAATGGGATCTGAAACTGGAGGGGCATGACCCGGAAGTTGAGGATCTGTACTGCTGGCCAAAGAATATAGTTCGCCCTCAAAGTGGGCAGATAAACATCCTTGAACTTGGTCACAACCTCCTTTCTCCCACCTCCTTCGGCCACGGTCATGAACGTGAAGAAGCAACAGAGACCAAACGGTGCAAATATCAATTGATCCATAGCCACTCTCTTAAGTGCTGGAACAGTGCCACTTTTCAGAGTAATGGGGAACCATTTCGTGAGGCGACCAAACCAAAGAAATTGGATCGGGGCCATCAAGAAGCCGTAGGACATGAATCGAGTCAAGCGTTCGAAATCGAAGGGTTGAGGTCCGCTGCTGCGGGGAGAGAGGCCAGGCGACAATCTTGCGGGTTTTTCGTTGAGGTCTTCGAGTTCAACACCAGAGGAGATGAGGTATCTCGAATCGGTAGTGGTCGGTAGCATGGCTTGTCTCTTTCGAAATGCCGTTATTGATTGTGCAACCGTATCTGCAATACCACCAAGAATCTGTTTTAACCCTTCAGCCACCATCCAACCGCTCCAGATATACTCACATACCGCATTAGTGATCATGGTGGTTAGTACGGGTTTCTGGGCGTAGTAGGAATTGAATTTGGCGATAAGTCGGGCCGCCATAACTAACTCGACGATAAAAAGGATAGTGTGTAATAATGGCTGTTGAAGAAGAAAAGGTCAGCTTCAAGGACAGAAAACCAGGGCATCGACTTCACAATCAAGAACGAGGGCGACGTACGAGTCTGCCATATATGTAAGTCCCGTTCAACCACGCCAACGACTTCCGTCTGGAGGTTTCCAGCATCGTGAAAAGAAGGAAGTCGCAGAGAAAGTGAGAAAGGGGACGGAAACAGAAGACTTGGATATTGTGGGAGGATGAGGTCAATGAGGTGAAAGTGAGGAGCGTCTGTGACGACAGGGTCTTGAACTAGGGTGCAGGCTGCAGTGGACACCGTGCAAGGCACGCTGGATTTATCTCGATGGAACTGGAAGAGCGAGGTACGACAGTAGGCGATGAGGAGGGGTGTCTCGTGCTATTGATAATCAAGGATCTGACCATTGGGTGTCAAAAGACCATAGGCGATTGTGTAACAAGTACGGAGTAAATGAAAGTGAGGTTGGATAGTTGATAGCGTGCGACCGCAGTAAGGGGGTGCAGACCAGAGAGAAAAGGGCTCATCAGGCTTTGGCTCGATGCCTCGAGGCGGCTCTCTCGTCTCCTCTCCAGGGTCTGCCTCGCTGCTTAACGGAGTGTCGGAAGTCCGCATGACCATCTTCCCCGCCAGTCAGCATCGACACCCAAGTCACCCAGATGATCTGATTCAGGCTAGGGATTGGATAACGCCCAGCAGCAAGGAAGAGCGCCGTTAATAATAGGTAAGTACGATCTTATGGTGGACGCCACCTATGTATGATCCCATTTCTATATAAACAACAAGAGGATTGCGACGCGACCAGGGATGATAAGTTTCGTCTGGAACTGGAGCAACGGGCATAGGCCGCTTTCATGTGCAAACTGGACTAATTCTGGTCTGTGGCTCTCTACGGCGAGAAATCACACAACACTTCAAAAACACCTTTTACTCGAGCCACATGCAAACCACATGCCGGGCCCTTGATCGGTGCTTTACAAGCATAGGCGAGGGGTGGGCGAAGGTTGAGATGCTGCTTGCTAACACAACCTAGACTATCCAAGCTCCCCCAACCCCCAAAAGGGTTTCAAGTCGAGCAGCCGGTGACGTCGGTTGCTGAAGCATCTGAAGTGCTTGCAGTCCCCGTACCATTATTTTCCAAATCACCCCACCAGTTCCGATGTATCGAGCCCAACCCGAGTCGACCCCTCCAAACAAGTTCCAATAAGTTGACCAAGTGATAGAGTTTTCTGTTCAGAGCTCCAAAGCTCAACTCAAGATTTTTTTTTTATTTTCACATTGAGCATCACTTCATACTGTTGCATTTTTTCCTCGACTCACTTCAAGATGTCTCTGTCTAACAAGCTCGCCATCACCGACATTGACCTCAAGGACAAGCGCGTCTTGATCCGAGTACGTCTTCTGTGGGTTGACGTCCTGTCCTCGCTGACGTTGTGTAGGTCGACTTCAATGTCCCGCTTGACGCCGACAAGAAGGTCACCAACAACCAGAGAATAGTTGGTGCTCTCCCTACCATCAAATACGCCATAGAACATGGAGCCAAAGCTGTCATCCTCATGTCTCACCTCGGACGCCCGGACGGAAAGAAGAACCCCAAATACAGTTTGAAGCCTGTCGTCCCCGAGCTCGAGAAGCTTCTTGGCAAGAGCGTCATTTTTACCGATGACTGTGTTGGGCCCGAGGTCGAGGAGGTCGTCAACAAAGCTTCCGGTGGCCAAGTGATCCTGCTTGAAAACCTGCGCTTCCACCTTGAGGAAGAAGGAAGCTCCAAAGACAAGGACGGCAACAAAGTCAAAGCAGACAAAAACGATGTCGCCAACTTCCGGAAGGGCCTGACTGCGCTGGGTGATGTGTACATCAACGACGCCTTCGGAACCGCTCATCGAGCTCACAGCTCCATGGTCGGCGTCGAGCTACCTGAGAAGGCATCCGGGTTTCTGATGAAGAAAGAGCTCGATTACTTCGCACAAGCGCTCGAGAACCCCAAACGACCATTCCTCGCCATTCTCGGTGGCGCAAAGGTTTCGGACAAGATCCAATTGATCGACAACCTGCTTGGCAAGGTCAACATCCTGATCATCTGCGGCGGTATGGCCTTCACGTTCAAAAAGACCCTGGAAGGCGTCAAGATTGGCAACAGCCTGTTCGATCAAGCCGGAAGCACAAAATGTGCCGAACTGATGGAAAAGGCCAAGCAGAACAACGTCAAGATCGTCCTTCCATGCGACTACATCACTGCAGACAAATTCGACAAGGACGCCAACACCGGCACCGCGACGGATGCTGAGGGTATTCCTGACGGATGGATGGGTCTTGACTGTGGCGAAAAGAGCATCGAACTGTATAAGCAAGCTATTGACGAGGCGCAGACGATTCTGTGGAACGGTCCTCCTGGGGTCTTCGAATTCGATAAGTTCGCCAATGGCACCAAACAGACCTTGGATGCCTGCGTGAAAGCGGCTCAAGCCGGGAAGATTGTCATCATTGGTGGAGGGGACACAGCAACTGTCGCAGCGAAGTACGGAGTAGAGGACAAATTGAGCCATGTGTCAACCGGAGGTGGCGCGAGCTTGGAGCTGCTCGAGGGCAAAGCTCTGCCCGGTGTGGTTGCCTTGTCTAGTAAGTAGCCTCCATTCTCCATGATCGACACGGGCACGATTGATTGGTATGGAAGCAAGCGGTTTTGCGAGATCAAACCTATGAGGGACAAGAAAACAAGACATCCATTGTTGTATGATAGTATTTTTTTTCCTCTCCCCTGAACTGCTAGACGGAAATATGCCGTATATTTAACCATTGATGCTCTTGGTCCATGACGCCGAAACGCCGTGCAATGCAATCCTCTGGCATAGCCAGCTCTATTTGCTTGCTTCGACTTTCTTCAACTCCTCTCTAAGCAAAGTATCAGCCACAGTACAGGTGGGGAGGAGATGGCAAGATAATGTCTGGGACATACTTCAGCTGCTTGCTAAAATCTTCATTCTCGTCATCATCGTCCCAGCTCTCTTCCCAGAGATGTGTAGTCCCGCCGGGCACTTCTGCGTCTTCCTGCGACCAGTCTGTTTGAAAAGTCGTGTCAGAATGACACCTTCGGTCGTGTCTTGTCTGTTCTTCATACCTTCAACGGGAAAATCCTCAAATTCATCATCTTCCTCGAGCATAGCCGCCGGCGGGTTCGATGCTGTCTTGGATGCTTGGGCTGCATCAGCTTCGGTCTTCTGCGTCGGTTGCATCTTTGACGTTGGTGCGTTGGAGGAGCCTGACGATGACATGTTGAGTCGGGTTTTGAATGGGCGCAGGCTGCAAATTGAGGACCTAGTCTTGCGGCGAACAGCGGAGATGTAGGCACACACAAGGGACCGACTTCTGGACGTCTGGCAACGCGGTATACCAGTTGAAGGCTCTTTCTCGACGTGTTCGGCCGTGTGCAATACGATGAGTGAAGTTATTCGAGTGGTCTTGTGTATACTAAAAAGGAAAAAAGTGACGAATGAGGAATATTTTATGAAGTGCCAGTAGGCCCGTGAGGAGGGCGATCTCCAAGCCCGCGTCTTCTGCTACCTTGGTAGTTGGGGGCATGTGATTAGCTGGAAGGCTCGGATGGACAGTACACTAGTTAAAAGACTAGCCTTATAATACGAAGAAACGAAGGCATAGGCACAGGCTGTCGCCACATACACACGAGGGCACAAATGTTGCAAGGCATGCGAGGCCGCTGCACGGGCATAACAACACAAACTCCACAGAGTCCTGCCTCAATGTCCGTCATCATCCGTGCTTGGAAGAGCAAACAGCTCAATCAACATTCCCCATTACGGAGTCCATGCCGTTGTTATCAATCCTGTACTTGCCGCAAGCACGCGGGGGCCGGGATAAATAAGCTCGATCCTCTGCTCTGACCTTGGGGCTGGGGCCTGCGTCTTCCCTCCTTTCTCCCCTTCTCCCTCTTTCCTTGACCAGTCAACGTTTGCGTTTTGTCTTCATTCCTTGAAGAGCTCGACAATATCCCTCGAAATGACGTGCTAAGCTACATTGTCTTCTACTTGTCCTGTTTCCTCCGAGACTGGCTGACCCAAAATTGGGCTTTTACAAGTTCTTCTACTTGATATTCTTATTATCATCTCCCCTCCGTCTTCGTCATGCACAGAGTCGGACGATGGTTCGACCGCGGCCGTGCTTCGCTCAATGTCTCAACGCACAGCCTGGATTCGCTAGAAGAATCTCAACATTTGGAGGCTGCTATGCGAGCTGTAGACCTCGTCATGGATGACGACATCAAGGGTGCTGAAAAAGGCCTTGCAGAGGGCAATTCCTCCTTTCACAAGCTCGCCAAAGGCACCTTGGCATTCATGAAGGCTGCTTTGGGATTCGAGCAGGAATTTATGAAAGAAGCTTCGGAAACGCTCTATGAAGCCGAATCGAGTGCGTCGGTGAGTCACTCAAGGGCTCAGCACGACTCGCGTGCTTTTCAGTCCACCATCTATGAGAGGGGCTCGGAGTTTGCACTGTGCCAGGCAGAGGCGCAGATCATGTCTGCCGTTGTTGGTGTGCTCAATGAGAGTCTGACAGAGTCTCTTCGAGGGTTCTACAAACTCCGCAAAGCATATATTACCCTTGACAGTCTTGTGCAAATGGAGGTCAATTTCAACCGAGCTCGGTCAATGGGGAGTCTATCAACTTCGAGAGATCAGTCCACCGAAAGTTTGCGCTCATCTATTTCCGATAAGTCGGCGCGTCCTCCCTCAGAAAGGTTAGAACACCATTCTCAGCATCAGGTCCAACCAAGCCATCCATCTGCCCTTAGGAGTGCGGAGGCTGTCGGTGCTACGCCAGATAGCGCTTCTGATGATGAGTTCCACGAAGCAGACGAGACGAACACGGTCACAGAGAAATATAATGGCCACCTGCAGGTGGAGGTGGAATCGGACCACACGGCCGAGTTAGACCTAGAGATTGAGCAAATGAACGAATTGCCACCAGAAACCATGCTGAACCGATCGACAACAGCGACGTTGGGGTTACTCACAGAAGGGCCCGAATCGGAAGTTTTTAGCAACTCCCTCGACGTCTTCATCCACTCGGGCACCAATCTCATGTCTGGCCTATTAGCGCTCCTCATCTCCATCATTCCTCCGGCTTTCAGCAAACTCCTGTACATTGTTGGATTCCGAGGTGATCGAGAACGAGGAATTCGAATGCTGTGGCAGGCAAGCAAATTCTCCAACATTAATGGCGGGATGGCAAGCTTGATCTTGTTTGGTTGGTACAATGGCCTAGTCGGTTTCTGCGATATCATTGCGGACGTGGATCCCTCTAATCCAGACGATGTCGAAGGTTATCCTACGAAACGCCTTGAAACACTCCTGGTCGAAATGAGGAAGAGATACCCTAACAGTAATCTCTGGATCGTGGAGGAAGCAAGAACGGCAGCCTCCAGAAGGAACCTTGATCAAGCCTTGTCCATTCTCGCCGCTCCCGGTAAGAGTCAACTCAAGCAGATTGAAGCGCTGCACATGTTCGAGAAGAGTTTGAGTGCCATGCACGCCCACAGGTACAAATTGTGTGCAGAGTCCATACTAGCATGTGTGGACCTCAACGCGTGGTCTCGTGCTTTGTACTACTACATCGCCGGCGCCGCGCACCTTTGCTTCTACCGTCATGACAAAACTCTCTGCAGTAAAGACAGAGAAAACCATGCCAAGCTGGCTGAGGAACTGTTCAAAACAGCGCCAACCAAAGTAGGGAAAAAAAAGATGATGGGAAGGCAACTCCCGTTCGACATCTTCGTGGTGCGCAAAATCTCCAAATGGGAAGAACGGGCGTCTCGGTGGAACTGCAGTTTCATTGATGCAATCGGTGTCAGTCCTCTTGATGAGATGATATTCCTGTGGAACGGCTTCAAGAAAATGGATGAGCCGCTGCTGCGGAAATCCTTGGACAATCTTGCCTGGTCCGAAAGCACGCCCTACTGGGATAAGGAAGATGTCGATGAATACGCAATCCTTGATATCCTAAGGGCCGTCATCTTCAGAAATCTCCGCCGGCATGAGGAATCGACAGGTCTTTTGAAACGGAAGCTGTTGAGTCAAGGGGCCCATGAGTTCAGGGGTTCGAACAAGGATGACTGGATGGCGCCGGCCGCACATCATGAAATGGCGGTTAATCTGTGGATGCAGAGGACAGGCTACACTCTGCAACATGGGGCGGCGTTCGTCAGAGATTGCTCCGAACAGACGCCTCCACTAGACCTCGCACATGATGCGAAGTTAGTTCAAGAAGCAAAATACCACCTGGAAAAGGCAAAAGGCTGGGAGAAGTACGAGCTTGATGCTCGACTGGGCCTCAAAATCACGGCCGCGCTCGCTGCTGTAAAGAAATGGGAGCAGAAGCATGCGAATGTGCTGCGATGATGCAGTGAAAGCCGTCCGACACGATGCTTGGTGTTGGCTACGTGGCAGTTCTCCCCAATCGAGGTCTTTTGTGTGCATCAGCAGTGCCTAGGTCCGCGTCTGGTTCGTTCTTTGTCTGCCCTGGCAGCTTCAAGCTGAGAAAATGAGTTCCTTCCAGAGGTGTCTCATAATACGCGGCAATGTTCTCGAAACCGAAATCTCGGTACATCTTTAATGCCACGACCATGCTCGGCAGAGTGTCCAGCCTCATTTCATCGTACCCGAGTTTCTCTGCCATAGCAATAATGGAGGAGACCAGGGCCTTGCCGACTCCAGTCCCCCGCCCGGCTTGGGTGACAAAGAGGCGCTTCATCTCACAGACCTTGCCTCCTGCTCCAGTAGAGGGAAGAGGCCGCAGTCCAACACACCCGATAGCGACACCAGCCTCACTTCGGGCTAAGAACAATTCTCCTTGCGGAGGAGAATACTTTCCCGGCATCCCCGCCATTTCATTGTCAAAATTTTGAAAAGCGAGATCGAAGCCCAACGATCCAGCGTACGCATAAAAAAGGGAAATAGTATCCGTCAAGTCGGCTGGGTGTCGGACAGGGGTTATGGAAAAGTTCACTGCCATTTTGGACATTTTAGAACACGGCGAGGTGGCCTGTTTGGCGAAAGGGAGAAGCGCAAAAGTCGTCAAGGAACGGGCGTCACACGATTGACCAACAGATCGGGCTGTAGCATTTGGGAACCCTGTCCTCGTCGTTGCCTGAGGAGCAATTTTTTTTGTTTTTTTTGGGGAGGGGGGGTTGCTTTTGGCATGCTGGTATTTGGCGGAATAGGATTCTATGACTCAGGGTTGGGAGGCCCAGACACATCCATCCACCAGGCTCCGGGGTGATATGTCCGCCTCCGTTCCAATCCACTCCGCTTTACTGCGTCGTGCTGCTACGCCCTTGGGGTTGTCACCCAAATTTCCCCGGAGGGTTTTTTTTCCTTCTGGCCTCCTAGGAAGGGGCAGGAAAGGGGCACGCACCATGGGAATTGCTCACGGAAGAATTTTCTGCTTCACGTGTCCCGTTGCCCAACCGTGCCCCCGGTTTCGTGGAGGAAAATCTTCAGAAAGGCCAAGGATTGATGCTATCTAACACGGGATCTGGTAGGATGGCTGTTCGCCTTCGTCAGCTGGGCCTGGAGCTCGGGAGCACCCGAGTCGCGCATTCATGTAGTGAGAGAAAAAAATTGCAGCAGGTGCTTTAGCGAGGGCATCGCTTCTGAGGCAAGCGATGCACAGCGACATCGGATCGAGCAACGCTGCACGGAACAAGCAGGCCCAGCCGCTCTGCACTGTACGAATACATGGGTAAGGGCTCGAGGGCTCTCGATAAGGCCCCTAGGCCCCGTGGATAGAATTTTTGCCAATCATGCCCCTAAAGCGACAAGCACCAATACAGGAGCCAGGCACTGCCTGGTGTCGCAAGGCGTTCAATCAATCATCTTTCATCACTCATCCTGCAGGACCATCATCGTCATCACTCCTCGCTGTACCGAGTATACTAACCCCCGTCGCCCCTCGTCCCCCTCCACAGTCCCCACTGCAGCTCTATCAACATGCATACCATCCCTTATCGAGCCAATTGACGTCCTCGTCTTCATTCCCATGCTTTACAAAATTTTGTCAACTAGCAACTTGACAAAAAGTTGTCGATACGATGGACTGAGATTCCCCCGTGGTGCCCTTTTTCCTAGGTTCAGATAAGCTAGACCGAATTTCTGGTCCTGCTTGCCTGGTAACTGCACCTGCATCACGGTGGCCCAATGCTTCCGACTGACGTATCGATGAATTTTTTTTTTTCTGGGGCCAAGGTGGAAGCTGCAGTTGAGCCTACAGAAAGAGCTCAATCCGGACCAGGCGACATCTTCCTGAAGAGTCTCCTCAAACGCCGTTATATTGTGGCCATCCCTCTTCCCCTCTTGCACTTTTTTTGCTACTTTCAACAAAAGCTCTTCTTCAAGTTCAGTCTCAGTTCATTGTTCGCCCAGCTCTGCCGCTTCAAGTTTGCCCTTATCCGACAAAATGGCCTACCTTGCATCCGAACCCGAGTTTGAACAAGCTTACAAAGAACTTGTTTCTAGTCTCGAAAATTCCTCGCTTTTTGAGAAGAATCCAGAATACAAGACGGCCCTGAAGGTCTGCTCCATTCCCGAACGAATCATCCAATTCCGAGTGGTCTGGGAGGACGACAAGGGCGAACTCCAAGTGAATCGGGGCTACCGTGTGCAGTTCAACTCAGCGCTTGGTCCTTACAAAGGCGGTCTCCGATTCCACCCTACTGTGAACCTTTCTGTCCTGAAGTTTCTGGGTTTCGAGCAAATCTTCAAGAATGCGCTTACTGGATTGAACATGGGAGGCGGGAAAGGTGGTGCAGACTTTGACCCCAAGGGTAAATCAGACAACGAGATCCGAAGGTTCTGTTGTGCTTTTATGAGCGAGCTCGGAAAACACATTGGAGCGGATACAGATGTCCCTGGTAAGCTTCACGCGACCACTTGCCCAATCTGGTAGACTGACCACGCGCACAGCGGGTGACATCGGTGTATCCGGACGAGAAATCGGGTGGCTGTTTGGACAGTACAAGAAACAAACAAAGTTGTGGGAAGGCGTGTTGACTGGAAAAGGAGGCAAGTGGAGTACAAACTTTGAGGAAACACGAATTCTGACAAGTTGCAGGGAGCTGGGGTGGCTCTCTCATCCGGCCAGAAGCCACAGGCTACGGCGTCGTCTATGTAAGAACATCTCGATCGCGACGAGCAGCACTTGACTAACAGTTGCCAGTACGTCGAGCACATGATCAAATACGCCTCCGGTGGCACCGAGTCATTCTCAGGCAAAAAAGTTGCCATCTCTGGCTCTGGAAATGTGGCTCAGTATGCGGCCCTCAAAGTGATTGAACTAGGCGGGACGGTTGTGTCTCTCAGTGACAGTCAAGGTGCCATTATCGCCACGACGCCTCAAGGTATTGACTCCGAAATGATCGAAATCATTGCGAAACTCAAGGTGGACCGGAAACAGCTCTCCGAGGTTGCCCACACATCCACATTCAGCAGCAAGGTCAAGTATATCGATGGTGCTCGCCCGTGGCTGCATGTGGGTCAAGTCGATGTGGCTCTTCCCTCTGCGACGCAAAATGAAGTGTCTGGTGAGGAGGCCGAAGGTCTAATCACAGCTGGGTGCAGATATGTGGCCGAAGGAAGCAACATGGGTTGCACAAAAGCTGCAATCGACACCTTTGAGGCACAAAGAAACTTCAAAAAGGAGAAATGGGTTTGGTACGCCCCAGGAAAAGCCGCCAATGCTGGTGGTGTGGCTGTTTCAGGTCTCGAAATGGCTCAGAACTCGGCACGCATCAAGTGGACCGCCGAAGAGGTGGACGAGAAACTCAAGCTCATCATGAAGAACTGTTTCGAGAACGGGTTGCAGACCGCGAAGACATATGTCACTCCGAAGGAGGACGAATTCCCCAGCTTGGTGGCTGGAAGCAACATCGCAGGATTTACCAAGGTCGCAGCAGCCATGAAAGATCAAGGAGACTGGTGGTAGATGACGTAAGGGATTTGGAAAGATACAGAATGGATTTGGATGTTGATATGTTCATGGGTGTCGATGAAATTAAATGCGTCAATCGTCCTAGACTCGGGTTTGCGAATAGCTGATCAATTGATAATTCAATTTCAGTGATATTCCAATGAGGCGGCAATTATTGTTTCTTAAGTGCTGTAATCGATGACATGGCATCAACAAGCATACTTGGCAAGCCAATTTGAGAAATAAATAGCACACTCAATGGCTACCTGGCGTCGCTCAAGTCCATTGACGCCCGATTATCGACGGAGCACGTAGAGACCACTAATGATGACTGCCAGTGCGAATGCTAATATACCGTAGAAGGCTCTGGTGATACCGTGCACGTTGGGGACTGAGAGTTCGAAAGGAAACCTAGTCAGACAAGGCCTTTTCTGGGTAGAACTGACCGGTCGTGTGACTCAATGGAAGACATGATGGATTCTAGCCGGCCCATGGGGACCTGCCTGACTATATACCCGTTCGGTAATTACAGGAGGGTATTGACGCTAAGTCGTCACTAATCACTAGCCTTCGGACTAGGGCGAGCCGGGGTAGCATGACGGTCTTTTGCATGTATCGGCCTACCCTGCTCGCCTGTCGGTCTCAAGAGTTAAAACTGTCATGCACGTAATCATGCCCCAGGCAGCTGCAACCCAAATGGCCATAACCGCTATGTAATGCACTCCCACTTCCATCGATAAGCAACGCCTAGGGAAAACAGCCAATATACTAGCTGAATGATACTCAGACATGCCGTCAGCACGTCAGTTACTCTCATATAGCAATCTGTCGATACATGCTTAAACTCGCAGCTATCTCTGGCGCCTCCTACCGAAGACGCAGTGAAGCTTCAGACTCGTACAGGAAGAATCAACGTCAACCTGTGGAATGAACAGGAATGCTATCGGGATTGCTCGTGACAGGACAGGTTGATCTCCACGCTATCGACCTAGTAAGTGGTAAGACTCCACTGGATTATGACATTGAGACTATTTCTCCGGACCACGATCGGAAATATACCAAAATCGTGAAGTATGCCTTTTTTGGGCTTTGGGGAGGGGTGTTGATTCTTACGATTTTCAAAGGTTCGAAGAGAGGGCCAAGCATTTCGAGCGCTATGCTATTTTTGATGCTTTTCAGAGAATACAGTTGAGAAGTCCCTTCACAAAAGCTGGACGATGGAGATAAATTCCATATATATATACTAAGAGAAGAATCCTAGACCGTGTCTTGAAAGGGTGCAAACAACCGAGCATTGGAAAGATTTTACCGTTGGTCTTTAAGCGAAGAACCATCTTTTGCGTGGCAGATCGCAAACCGTGATTGGGAGGAGTGACAACCTCTGTCCAAATTGGAATAGAATCGACTAAACCAACGACCCCCTTTTTTCCCTTTTCAAGCCCCCCCGGGTTACTGAAATATCACGAAATTATCTCCATCAATACCCAGCTTTTCCCAATCTTCAGAGTGCTCCTCTACCGCCAGCCCTACCTTATCGTCTGGTGGTGATAGTGGTGATGGCTCGGCTGCTAGTTCACTCTCAAAGAATATCAATTCTTCTACCGCTGGCTCTGCGTACCAGATCGCCTTTTTTTTCTTTCCAAGACTTCTTTTCATACCCTCAGAAGCCTCTTAATTCTCCTCTTCTGTGATCTCACCCGGGAAGTACTCCAGCACTCGAAACGGACACTCCGCCTTGTTGGATAACCCCGTCCCCCGGCATTGCTCTGGATAAGCCCCATTGGAATCGGCACGGTCCCGCGCTTTTAGTAGGAAACGAACGTCAGGGCGAATGTCGACTTTGTACATTCTGCCCCTCCACCATTGCCTTCAAGAGATCTTTGGCAAGGTCACCACCGCCATCGGGTAGTCTGCTCCATTCGCCCCACTCATCAAGCAGCCGCTCCGGCGACACCAGCGCCGAATAAAGTCTTTTAACAGTCGTAAGATCGGGGAGATACAGTCTACCCTAGATACTAATAGCGGGACCTCTCTTCATCGAGACAGGATTGGCCTTTCTAGGCGTATTCTTTTCTCATAGTATTGAGACGCCACCAAGGTACTGAGCCCCAACTTGGAATTACGAGGCGAAGGCCGCAAAAGGGAGAACGTAAAGGAGGAAAGCGTAGCTTTTATAGAAAGTAGTGTCCAAGGGTCGTATCTTAGTTCTTGATCTTCGCGGTATACTTATCTCCTAAACTTCATTGGTCTGTGTCTGCTCCTCTCTGGTAACCGCTAGCTTTAGCACAAGTAAGCAGGTAGTCAGTCCGCCGTGAGCTCCTACTGACTTAGCTAGCTCGTGGTAATAATGGAGGTAACAGGACTCTGGGAGATCGTCGTAGGAGGGTTGTAATAACGACAGTAGTAGGACCGCATTTTAGGGAGGGTCGCACTCTAGAAGAGGAGAAATCCTCGTAGCCCGAGAGGGCAGGAAGGGGATTTTGCTTCATTAGCGGAAAGGAGGAGTCCGTCCGAACGACATAAAAGCGGCACGTCCGGGGCGAGTTGCACGTAAGGTTCTAGCAGTTTAAACTCATCTTTGCCTACAAGTACTAAGCACCCGTGTCTTGGCGCAGTCGCAAGGCTGGCTAGGCTGGCTTGCTCTTCGCTTGGCGTTTAGTGATCGCGACGTCGACGCGTCGCTGAAGAATTGCTAGGATTAAACTGCGCACCCATTTCCCAAAATCACCATCATGACACCGAACCATCAATCTGTAACACACGGTAACGTCTCTTGATCACATGGGACTCGGTCAACAGCCACAGCGATGCTCAACCTCTACACCGAGACGGCCTTCCAAGTGAATCCGCCAACCGCAGACTCAGTGCTACACCTCCAAGTTCCAAGAAAGAATGGCTCATTCGACAAACCCAAGTCATCCTCAACTCGGTTCAAGGATGGCCGGACCTGGACAAGCGATCAAGAATCGTATTCCTCTCGTTTCCTTGCCTCTCAGAGCTCGATATATTTTCGGGCGTCAAAAACATATCCCCGGACATTTTACTGGAAGGTGGTCAACAATGAAAGAGTGCTGCAGGTGCAATGCGCGGATCTTGCGAGAGGCGAAGCTGAAGTTGACGAGGCGTACCTTACAATCGAGTTCGAGTTCCAGGACGAGATCATCCCCCGAGGTGTAACTTTTGCGGATTTAGAGAATGCCGAGGAGATTAATGTTTTTGTGTGTACCAACAAAAACGAGATCTTCAACTTACGGGTACCTACTGCTGCTTTCCGCGACTTGCGTGTACTGCAAACCGAGAACATTGGTCAGTGGTGCCAGCCGCTGGAAAGTTCCACCCTTGGTATCGATACAGTCTACCGCATTCATTCCATCACCCCTCTGGTTGTCTTAATATCCTTCGCCAGCGGGAGATTACAGAGGCTGAAGAGGAGGTCTGGACAAGACGATTGGGAACAGGATAACTACGATGACCGATCATGGGGCGCGTCGATCCGAGGGCTCGTCGGTCGACGAGGTTATCACACTATCGAATTTAGGTCGGCGCAACTAGATCCGCGAACCGCCCAGACCATGGTCGTCTCTGCGGATGGCGATCTCCTCTTCACTGTTTGCCTGAACCATACTTTGAGAATCTGGAACCTCAACAATGGCAGAATTGTTGCCACGAAAGATTTGGTGGGGTTGACAAGGGATCCGAATGACAGAACCCATTTAAACCCAGCGGAAGATGCCTTCTTGCAGGTATTCAAAGAAGATGAGGCACAGAAGTTTCCCACTGTTCTGACGTACAGTCCCCGAGATGGAGGCCAATTCAAATTCTGGGACATCAAGGGAAGCCTCACAGATTCTCTTATTGTTGAAGACAGATATCCAGAAACAAAACTGAGTGCTCCAGATCCGGACCCTTCTGGGAACACCGTCTGGTCCATGATCGGATTCAAGCTCGATCCGGGCACCACCTACAAGGCTGCTCAGCTCTGGGTACTTTGGAGGAACCACAACTTCCACCAACTTTACAATTGTCAACTAGAATTGGGCAGCGTGGCAAGTTCATGGAAGTCAAATTGGGTCAAATGCAATGCAACAGTGTCCGCAAAGGCTCTCCCTCCGGAGTTTGTCAAAGGTGATGAGGAAGATCCGGCTACTAGGTGGTTGGACTTTTTCCTCTACCCTGGTCGCTATTCCGAGGCTGCCCTTGAAACAGCGTTGTCTATATTCGAGGATGCGACTGCAATGAATTTGACTGCTTCACAGAAGGCAGCGCCGTTGAGACAACGAATGTGCACAACGGTGGCGGGCAATATCTCACTGCGGAAGTATGGTGAATCCGAGATGGACTTTGACAGGTTCTGCATCGACACTGATTCTCAGTGGCGCAACTTTTACAGGATATCTGAAAATGTCAACGACGACCGCAATGCTCCGTTGGCCCTGACCTATGATGCGTTTAGCGAGATGGTGTGGATTACCATGGCGGACAGATGCTGCGCGGTTAGAGAATGCAGCAAGGTTGAACTTCTCCAACAAAACGAAGTTGGCGACATACGAGATCTTGAAGATGCCGCTGCTCGATTATGGCCTCACCGCAAAGTTAGTACTGATGACGGAGAACCCTTCGTCGACCTTGCTATCCTAATCTCCGCGGCGAGGACGTTCAGAGATTCATTTTCATCCGATCTTGCTCGGGATCTCGCACTTGCAGTCGAAGAAGATATGTCCATTAGTGCCGAACATGTCACCCCCACGCGCACACTGAATATCTATGACAATACAGGATTCGGCGACGCTATATCGAATGACACCTTTGAACGACTTCAATCCGATCTCTCTCCGATGGGCGGCATTTCTGGCTTGAATAACGAACTTTTCTTGGGAGTCTTGGAACTGTTTGTGTCTAAAAGTAGGAGAGTGAAAAGCGCCTTGAGGAATACTCTGTTCGGGAATCTTCTATTGTCTGCGGGCACGGTAGACTTCTTGTCGTCTAAAAAACAACTGCTCATGGATCTTCTTGCTCTAGCAGTTTTCGTGGAGGGTGAGTTGAGTCAAGAGGATGTCAAATCGACAATATTCAATGCGTCCGAACTGTATGACCAGATTGTGCCCCTACTACGGCTGTGTAACCGCAATCTTTGGCTAGCGTCGCATTCACGACTGGTCCCGTTGGAGATCCTAGGCGCTGATGGACATCCAAATGCCTCCCGCCAACGTTATAAGCCCGTCGCCGACAAGAGAAGACAGGTTACAATCATGGAGGACACGTTAAGCAAAGCTGTCAGACCACCACCCGCTGTTGAGAAACCCTTGATGTATCTGATCACAGACCAGCTATCAGAGATCGACGATTGGGCTTCTGGAAAAGATACGTTGGATCTAGAAGATGGTGCGGTCTACCTGCAATGTGATCTGCTTGTACAGGGTGATCTCGACCTTGCCACTGATTTTCTACAGTACCAACCTTCAACGTCCTGGTCAAGCTATGTGAAAGGGCGTTTGGCTATTGCAAAGGCTGAATACGACGTAGCAACATACTATTTCCAGAAGGGGTCATATGGCTTGGCATGCGGGAAAGCAGTTGGGAACCTGGTGGCACTTTCAGCAGGTCTGTTGTCAATGATTGAAGCCGAGTGTTTCAACAACGGCCTTCCTGTTTACCTGCATCACATTACGACGCTTTTCGAGTCTGCGAAAGCATACAACGAAGCAGCTAAGTTTGCTCGTTTGACATTAGAATCATTGCAAGCTGGGCAGAATGAACCAGTTCTCAATTTCCGGGCCGAAGTGTTGTCCAGATTGGTGAACGCGGAGCTCAAGCTATCTAGGTTCGATCGAGCCTACAATGCTCTGGTTCAGCTGCCTGACCCAGCATTGCAGCGATCATCAGTGACGGCCCTGGTCGACTCAGTTTTGAGTTCCCATGCATCTGTCTTTGGACCTGAAGGCGTGGTACAGACCCTCCAGTCTCTACCTTGGACTATGTATCCTGAACTCGCCCGACACATGGATGGACACCTCATTTCCCTCACAAAATCCCAGTCGACGTCATCCAGCTTGGCCTCAAGCAGTGGCAAAGTCGACTATCTCAGCATCATGCACGCTATCCGAATTGACCAACACAACCACCGTGGAGCGGTGACAATCCTATATGACCGTCTCAAATTGATCCGCAAATCCGGTCGGGCTCGACATGATCCGCAAGCCACAGCACTGAGACACGTCCTGCTTGCTCTCATCAATCTTATGGCTTGCATGGCACCGGATGAGGCGTACATCCTTGTCGAAGCCGATGACAGCAAGACAACTCTGAAACAGAAGACTGGAGAAGAAGCCAACGCTCAACATGACGAACAGTTGATAATGAGAAAACGACGTCGCGTGGTCATCACGTTGGAAGACTTGCGGAAAGAGTATCAGGCAATTCTGGATAGATGTAGTCGGATTGAGCGCGGAGACTTCGACTTTGAAATAGATGCGGACGGGGACAGCGAAGAAGATGAAGCCGAGGAAATGATAGGGGATCAAAGTCAATCGAGATTAAACTTATCGAAAAGTCCGTCGAGAAATGGGGGCGGAGGCGGAGAGGACGCGATGGAATTTTGACAGTCCGGGCTGCATGTGGGCATCAGAACGTTTAAGCATTAGCTGTCAGGAAAAATTTCGAAGGACATGTGCAAACTGCAAGGAGCATGGTCAAGTCAAACGAAAAGGATAACATCTCAATCGAGCTCGGTAGGACCAGTGAAAATTGAGGCGAAACGCTCGCAGACGTCAGCGTCTGATAGCTGCAACATCTCCAAACAGATGCGGAATTCAAACAGGTTTGTTTTCAGTCGCATTTCATCACGCCGCTAAGTTTTGCTGGTCTCTTGGATCTCCGAGCAAAGAGAGCCCATCGCACACAATCGAAGTTCCCAACAACCCATCGAAAATCTCTTGAGGAAAGGGCACTAGAGAGTCGCGACGGAGACACTGGAAATTTTATGATCAGAAGCCTGGGATGCAGGGCTCTACGTACCTAACAAGACGCGCATTCTCGAGGTCGGCTTCCGAGCAAACACCTTGAAGCTGACCTCAAATGTTCTATTCGAGAGAACCCCAGCTTGCTGCCCCCAATCTATGCTGCGCTTGCAGAAAGGAGGACATGGTTGCTGTAAGTTCCCAGAAACAAAGAGAGGCGCAAGAAGCCGTGATAGACTGACCTGATGTAATCTTTCACAGTACGATTCGGCTTGACAGCACTCAATCCTCCTCGATCTCCCCCTCCTCACTTCCTGAATGCACTCCACTAGGCTCCGGGACTTGAAGCATATCCTTGTCTTTGTCTTTTTTGATCGACGATGGTTCTGGCGTTTTGCTCCTCCCTTTCTCACGCGACCGCGACCTTCCCCCTCGACGATTCCGTTTGGCACTGCGTCTTCCACTCTCGACGCTGTCTTCACTTCCTTCCCTCCTCCGTCGTCGATCGCTGCCTGTAATACTCCTTGATTCTTCACCATAGTTGAGTTCATCCCTGTTGCTGCGCGGTTCGGCTCGTGTACGATACAGACGTTCTCGTTCTTCTTCCCGCTCGCGCCTTTCACGCTCGTAAGTGCTCATGCGACGAGTCGGAGATGCTCTGTCACGATCGAGACGACCGTGTCTCTCGTCGCGTTCTCTTCCCCCACGGGGCTGTGGAGGCGGTGGGCTAAACCCACTGGCTTTTCTGTATTGTTGCTCCCTCGCAGCTTGCGCCTTACGGCGGTCTGCTTCGTAAGCATCGGGCTCTGGAGTTTTAGAAAGCCGGCCGTATCTAGTATCACCGCGATGGCCATTTCGATGGTCCCGGTCATCTCCCCGTCTAGAATGTCTCCTTTCTCGGTCTTTGTCGGCGTCCTCTTCCTTTTCTTTCAGCCGCTTGATCACCTTATCAAATGCAGACTTCCTCAGTTCTTCGCTTTCAACGGCATGATACTCATCTGTCTTTTCTACTCGGGCCTTAACGTCCTCCCAAGAATCAGTAATGCGAACCGCAGGATCTAGATGCTTGATTCTTGAGCGCAGTGCGTCTACGGCACGACGTTGATGGCGATCCGCAGCGTGCTTTTCATCCTCACTTCTGCGCACAACTTTGTCATGGAGACGCTGGAAGATGAGTTGAAGGGCATCTCGATCGATATTGGCTGTTCGCCGATCAGTAAGCATGACATCAAGAAACTCGTCGAAGGAAGTTCGAGGTGTGACTTCATATCGTTTGTCCTGCACGTGGTTAGCATTTGGTTGGCGGAGATAACGGGTGGCAGCATACTTCAAGCACATCATAGACGTCGTTCCTCCTCCCTCGTAGAGCCCTCTCTTCCTCCTCAACCACGTCCCAGAACAAATCTAAAGGCGTTGATCCCGCCTGACCCAACATTGCAACATACCTCGGGTCCTCTTCGATCTCAGGCAATATGGTCATCCATTTGGCGCCAGCTTTGATTTTGCCTTGGCTCCGCAGTGTCTGAAGCAGTTCCACGAATCTATCGCGATTTTGCCTTTCGCGTCTTGCTCTGCTGGCTTTTTGCTGCTGACGTGCATCATTGAAAGTTCTCTCGAGCGATTTGATATGGTTCTCAAAAGCCGTCAAAACATCTGACTTACTCAGAAGCTTGAATCTCTCATCCGACTGTATTCTCTCGTTGGATTGAAGAATCTCCTGGGCCTGCGCCCATCGGGTATACGGCTCCAAATCGAGGGCTTTGAAAATGGCAACAAGGTTATCCAAGGCTGATTTGCGAGCGGCGGCTTCCTGTTCGATATGTTGTTTCTTAAGCTCGATAATGTACTCTTCGAAAAGCTGCTTACGCTCATCTTCGTTGTCAGTGGATCGGAAAACCGTCTCTCCCTCAATGATCGGACGGATTGTTTTCCATCGACTGTAGTGTTTGATCTCGGGATGTGTCCTCAACATGTTACCGAAATCTGTGCGTAGCTTAGCCAGTCTTTCCTTGGCTTTTTCCCGTTCTTGTTGCCGAACCTCGACTGCATATTTCTCGAACGCCGCCTTCCTGTCCTTGGGGTCTTTCAAGGCTCTATATTGAGGATCTTTGATGGTTGCCCGCATCGTCTGCTCCCAGGTCCAATCAGGCTGGACATTGGACCGTCGCAACAACTTCATGAATGCAGCTTCCGCCTCTTCAAAGCTGGAGTAATCCGGCACCACCTCCTTCGCGATGGTTGGCACCGAGAGAGCGCTCTCGGGTCGAGGCTTCGAGTCAAAGGGCGTGTGATCGTCTCGTTCCCGCGCATGAGGGTATGAGGAAAGAGCAGTAGAGCCACCAGCAACAAAGGCAGGGGATTGTTGGCCCGGCTTAGGAGGAAGTTGGGCGGAATTCAGAGCGTCTCGATACTGTTGAGGCATGTCCCATACCGTCTGCTTGGTCTCCGAGTTTGAGTAGTACTTCCGGCCTTCAGGAGTCGAGTATTCTTTCCATGGTTGAGCTGCAAGCGCTTTTTCCAGCGGAGTCATGAGGTCGACAGGTTTGATCCATTTTGTCTCTTTCGTGATAGTGTGGTAGTAGTAGGTGCGCCCGTCGGGGGCGCGGGCTTCTCGCCATTGCCCTAGTGTTGGTGGAAGTCCGTTCATTTTCGTTCGCAAAATGTGCCAGTCAATTATGCGAGGGAAATAACGATGATGATAGTAAGGAGCGACAGGCCCAAGTCGGACATTGAGCGTAGAGGAAGAGCTGCGACTGCTTCGTTGTATTAGGAAATTGCAGCGAGGAGATGAAAGTTGAAAACTCCAAGCACTATTACATAAGCAGTCTGTTATGTGTGAACAACACTTCAGCACTTGCTTCCATCCCACAAAGCCCTGAAAGAGAATCACTCATTCTAATGAGCAAGCTACGATGATACTGAGAGACTGAACTTCGAGTATTCGCACAGAAGAGAGGCCCTATGATAACTTCCCAGAGGCGTCCTCTCAACATGGAAGCTGAACTTTTCAAATTAGCCCTTGTGGACGCGATAATCCCCGAGGACACAGTGACCGAGGTTTCAGAGATTCTTCAAGCAGGGGCTGAGGCTCAGAATGACTCTAGCCACCTTCTGGCCATAAAGGAAAGAGAATTGCTCTTTTTTGGTGCGTCCCGCTCACGTCGTCCAAGGGATTCTATCTTACTCATCCCCAGATCAGATGAAAGGTTGAGGACACTAGCGGTCATCCGATTGCCGCATTGCGACGAAGATGTCTTGCAGTCGTATCTCTCACAACTTTCCTTCAAGATTGATGTATGGGCCATTGAGGAGTCTCCAGGCAATGAACAGAATAATCCCGGCGCACCCCTCCCCAAGGACATGGTTTTTTCAGCCGAATCGATCCAGAAGACCGAACCTATAGTTCTCGTCAGTGAGTCTGCAAACCGCTGCCAGACCTTGACTCTTGTCTGGGAAGTCGAAATCTCCCTCAATCGGCCTAAATTCCGCGTTCCTCAGCCTGCCATCATATTGATCCCTTCAGCCACCATCACTGCTCCTCAGCGTGATGAAGTCGACAAGAATGACGACCTCGCGCTCTTCCAACCGCTGGAAGCAAATGTGCTTGAGCCTATGCGCTTTGTCCCAGGCTTCAGGGATAATGCTCCGTACCTTGCCGCTTCGAGACTCGAACGGGTATTGCCCATAACAGCGACTCACAAGAAACGGATTCACCTCCAACATGTTCCTTCGAGGCGGTATAGAGCCGTACCTGCCACAATGGCGCGGATACGGTATCAAAAGGTGAACGCATTCACTACGACACCCACCACCGTTGCTCTACTGGACATTGACATCATTCCGTTTGTCAAAGTAGACGTAACGATCGAGCAAGTTGATCTATCCCTCAAGAATGGGCGAACCGAGTCCATGATGCCTACCTTTTTGCCTATGCAAGTCCGGTCAGGAGACTGTATAACATTTCTATACTGGCTTCATCAAACGCTCGGCCCAAGCCGCGCTCCTGGATTTGGACTCGTGAACCCGAACATTGATGTCTTGTCAATTGCAATCAGATTGGCGATACAGTTGAATGAGGAATGTCATCCGGTTCTCATCATGAATTGGACCACCCACGTTGACTTCACTCCAGCCCTAAATCCATCGTTCGGACCCCCTTCGCAACCGATCCAGCGACCTAATCGACCGACAAGCCTTCCTGTTAATGCGGACAATAGTGCGGCAGTGCCTGTGAATGCGATTAGCACTAGCCTACAGCCGGTCTCTGATGTCGATTCGAGAAGTGGACTGTCAATATCTTTCTCAGCTCCTGACGCGCCGGTCCAGGTTGGCCAGCCATTTTCGTGGAAGGTTCTAGTCATGAATAACTCTATGAAGACGGCCAAAATCGCGGTCATCCCTCTACCTCGGATTCAGCGGCAAACCACTCAAACCCAATTCTTCGCCAAACGCCACGCGCCGAAGTCATCCACTGCCTCGTTCCACCCAAACGAGCGGCGACACACTAAGGATGGGGAAGACTTGGATATAGCACAGGCAATCGTCGATGAGAACGTTGTCTATGCTATGCACCACTCGCATTCTGTTCCTCCAGAGACCGATCTGATGGCCTTGACTGCAGAGTTACGGATTGGTCCCTTAGCACCTGACCAGTGCCACGAGAGCGAGATTCAGATGGTCGCTTTCGAGGCCGGAACACTACGGGTCGATGCTATGAGAGTTGTAGATCTTGTCAGGGAAGTAGAGGAAGGTGCTGCGGCAATGGGGGTACTGGCCGACATCCGGGATTTGCCTGACATTGTGGTCGCGAAAGCAGCGGACGAGAGTACATGACATTAATGTGGCTTTGCAACAGAGGAATCACCGCACCGAACCCCGATCAACAGGCAGCAGCCAATTTTTAGATCGCCCAGGAGAAAATGGAATCTGTCCAAGCGCAGCGGAATGAATTGTCCCTACTGCTCTCTTTTCAGGGCCACTGGCAGAGGAATGACGCACATTGCGAGCTATGGATGTTCTATTCGAGTACCTTCCAGACTGATCATTCTGACAGAAGGACTTCGTTCTTTATTCGGCATTCGACGAGTTCGCCGAAACTGCAGCGTTCGCCTGCGAGTCTGCCTTGCGACTTGGTCCAATCACAGTCGGTCTCAGGCTTCCAAGCCTGATATGGAATTCCGAATACGACGACAGAGCCCAATGCAGAAGCACCACTATTGACTCCCTGAGGAGAATGCGAAATAAAAGGTCTTGGGTTGCCGGCATTCTCGTGGATGTGTATGCCACTTATAGTTTCAAGAGTTTGGGAAAGCCAAACCCTCGCGCCATCACTGTTAACCTCTCCGGGCAGTTTCTATTGCATAAATACGCCAAATCACACCAGGATGACCGCAGATTGCTTCGAGTACAAACATCAGATCCCGTCATCGGCAGCGAAGGCTGTTGAAGTAGATGTCAAATCTGCATCCGCCTCGCTCTTCTCCAATGTTTCCTACGCGACAACGCTCCTTGACCCCGAGAGCTTCCGCGCTGGTACAACCCTGCATGTTTCCGCTCGTGGAATTGGCCTTCTTCGACTGCCGGTCCCTTCTTCGGAGCTTCAGATCCAAATCTTCCATGATGACGGGAGCTTAGCATATACCTCGACCAGGGCAAAGCGATGTTCTGGGAATGCGGTACTCAGCCACCCGAAGCTAGGCGACTTGATAAGCACAACGTACTTCTTTGGCCCCAAGCGCGAGCCTGAATTCAGGTCCGTCCAAGGCCGAGCTACGGCTGGTGGCGACGGAGACGAAGTAAAAGTTTGCGGGAAGCTGGGGTCTCGGTCTACGAGGTTCACCACTCCAGATGGGCGAGTGTTTGAGTGGAGCTATTCGCGGATGAAGGACCCCCTGGGCAAGAGAATAAACGTCATCGCACTGCGCCAAAAAGACACAGGGATGATCTTGGCCCAGTTGATCAGATCTGAGGGTACACGTACGGAGGGTACAACGAGATGCACAGCAGGGAACGGCGGGCAGCTAATCCTTGACCAAGAAGCGACAAGTTACCTGGATGAGGCATTGATCGTAGCCACGTGCTTGATGATGTTGAAGAAAGAGATTGATCGGAGACGATGCTTGCAGATGATAGTGCTCGGTGCCGCAGCTGGCTGCGGCGGTGGATGTTGATAGGCTTTGGTCTTTGGTCTTTTAGTGCTATGCACTATATATTGATGAATGTAATCAGTGTTCTGTACTATGAAATGAACAATGGCTGTCTTGAATTATAGAGCATCTGAAGAGGACTGGAAATCACAAGACGCCGCGAGGAAGTGCGAGAGCGACCCCCTCCAGATTCTTTGATCCTCCGTAATAGGCGAAGTACTGGCTCTCGGACAGGCGAGAACAGGAGCGAAGGTTCTCCTTCCACTCCCTCAGAGTGGTCGGGTTATCCTTCAGCACCGAACGGGTTAAAAGCGTTCCTTCAGCATGTCGCGCAAACGCCGTAACACGTCCTCTCCCGAACTGGATGAGTCGCCCCCCATCAAGCGTCAAAATAGGGACGATTCAGAAGAGGAAGAGAGCGATGAAGTTCCCTACGTCGACCAATTCAGCGGACAATTCAGTGCTTTTCCTGGACTTGGAGAGGACAAGGGTGAATTGTTCTATGGGCCTGCTGATAATGGAATCGACTACTTGAGAATGGTGCGGTGAGTTTCCCCGTTATCACTCAGTAGCGTGACGCTGAACATCTGGTCCCTAAGTCGAGGAAAGCATAGGCTGATACTTGATATTGTGTCTCAGGTCAGAAGCCAAGGGCGTTCCGCCTGTTATGACTGCACAGATACCGTCTGCACCTGTGGGTAAACTCGAGGAGGGCGAGGAGATAGAAGGAGGAGGATATTACTACGACGGCGCATACACAGCAAACCATCAGATTGTCACAACACTCGAAGCAGAACCGCTCTTACCCCCTGCCCAAATCGAATACTACAGCTCGCTCCTCGCACAATTCAGACTGGTCCGTGCCACGTTAAGGTGTCATCCACCTCTCCCAGCTGTTGAAGCACTTCGTCCATCACAATTCATATCATTTCCGGAAAACACTCGGAAGGTGCGGGCGCAGTGGGAAAGTCATATGTTATCTACGGACCCTCATCCTGTTCAGGTTGCATGTATGGATACACAGACCGTGGCGGAGCTGGTCAAGTTTCTTTCGGTAAAGCTGGAGAAGATGCTCCGCACGAGGGACTTTGCGAGGGTAGCGAGGATCGGAGCTTGGGCGTGGGCAATTCTAGGCAAGTGTCGAGATCGTGAAGAGTCATCGAACGAGGAAGTGGGAGATATCCGAGAGTTGGCACAGGCAGCGCTTCGGGTGCAGGAGATGAGCAAAGACGGGCATAGTACAGAAGGAGAGGACCAGGACCAGGACGAAGAGCGCGACAACGGGATCCCTGGTGAAGAGCAAGATACTGGCGCCAATGATATACCCGAGAAGAGGCCAAACCTAGAAGGTACCGATGAAGAAGCAGAGCCTGTCGAAAGCGATGGACATTTGAGTCGACAGGAGTGTGTCAACGTGATCTTGGACATGATAGTCACGATTGCCGGCGAGGTGTACGGCCAGAGAGACTTGCTCGATCTTCGAAGCAGATGGACTGAGGACGGGTGAGAGGAGACGAATGGAAATTTGAGACATGCTGCCGCACCGCTTGGTAGGGAGCACGTATGCCTTCTAATTCTAGCGACCGGCAGCCCGCACCCACAGCCCTCCTCTGTCTCACACCAAGACAAGCCTCTCGCTGCGGGAACCCGATCTTGAATTTGCCATTACATCCATCTGTCAACGACTTGTGTGATCGCACCACCTTGGAATGCCTTGTTGCTTCACCACAGCCATGCTATTTACCTCCTTCGCCCTCTTCATGCCAACCCTCCTTCGGCACGCCATGGCGGATTACAACCCGGACATCTCCAACGGTACCTGCTACTACGACGATGGCATGCAGGCCAATTCCAGGTACATCCCTTGTGGGAATGCAGCCCTTGGCCACAAGTCATGTTGTGAGAGTCTGGACATGTGTCTTTCGTCGCACGCTTGCTACAACGGTCAATGTAAGAGTCAACCTCGTCTGCGTCGCGATTTCTCGCACTGACGATTGTTAGTTGGCGTCACTTATCTGGCCGGCTGCACAGATTCCAGTTACGATGACCCGGCCTGCCCCCGTAAAGGAGATTTTCAAGGTAGAGAAGGGAATTCACTTTCGAACTGTCCGACCACTCGTTGACCACCCCTGCAGAGCAACCGTGGGCCGGGTTGGTCTACTGCAATGGCACTTCGAATGAATGGGTCGCGCGCGAAGATGAAGGCAGCACGGTTACAACCCCATTACCCTGCTGGTGCCCCGAAGTCGATTCAAGGACCGTTGCTCTTGCCGATTCCTCGGTCCTCACCAACATCATGTCCCTGCCAGCAACTTTGGGTGGCAGCGTCACTTGGAAAGACGCCGATGCGTACTCATCGGAACATTCCCTGACCTCGATACTTAGCTCGTCAAATACTAATCCCACGACTTCAACCCCCACTTCCAGTTCAGTGACCGACACAACCATCCTTTTATCACCCGCATCGACCGTTTCCGCCACCAGTTCTAGTCTGCCTCCACCTTCCGCCTCGTTTCAGACCTTCTCTACACCGGAAGCCACCGCTAGCGCGATCGCTAACCACTCCGGTTTAAGCACAGGACAAAAGATAGGGGTGGCGTTTGGAGCAGCGGGTGGAGCAGCGGCGATGGTTCTACTTCCTTGGTTATTGTGTACGTGTTTCCGTCGAAGAGCAGGGAGTAAACAGGAGCAGAACGAGCCAGCGCCGATGCGGGAACCCCCGCTACCGCAAGTGGAGCGGAGACCGACCGACCCAGAGATGAGGAGTCCGGCATGGTCAGGTCATAAGTCGGAACTTCCCGCGGACGAAAACGTGACGAGTGCCTCGCCAGCGCCGCGATATCAGGACTTTGCCAGACTGCAGAGTGCCAAAATGGGGGGTAGCCTGGTCAGGATGTCTCCCACGAGACCTACGGAAGATGGTGGGTTGAGGGTGCCTGGTCGCAAGGGAACATACTACGAGATGGCCGGATAATGTGCTCAAACCAAGTTGAGTATGGTACCTCGTCCGAACCACAGGAGGTGATCAAGACAGCGTTCCAAAGGAGCTTTGCAAAGATGCTCATATGACGATACTTCGGGCTGTCCCATTTTACCTGTCCTACTCTCTGGCGGCGTTTGCAACAGGAGCCGAATCCTACCTTTCCCCGTTAGCTTCAGTCTCCGTCCCAATCTTCCCTCCTTGAAGAGCTATACTCACCAGATAGACCTGATACAACTTAAACCTCAACTCTTTGCCCTCGTACTCGGCCAATACCGCCCTCGCGGACCACTCCACTGTCAACTGCTTGCCATTCTTCAATCCATAATCTACACTGCCATATAACATGCACTCTAAGCTGCCCTCGCCAAACGGGAAAATCTTCTCCAGCTTGTGCTTCCTGCTCTGGATCGGGCCCGTCCAAAGCCCCTTGCGGAGCTCTAGCACCTGGTCATAGCCCTTGACGGACTTCGAGCCCATGACAAAGTCGGCATCCGGGAAGAACGACGCGGCGTAGTCGTCGTGCGCACTCGGGGTGTCAGAGACGTGGTAGAAACGCTCGAAGAAGGGGACGATGCGGGCGTCGATCTTGTTGGCGAGGGAAGGGGGCACTTGGCCCGTGTACGTCATGTTGAGCAGGGGTTCAAAATCGAGCCTAGAGAGGATACTGCGATGATTTCAGAGAACGGTAAGCTCAGAAGAAAAAG